ATAATGACCTCGTTCAACCCTGGGGCGTCCCTGCCAGCCACCATGACATCCGTCTTCCTCACAGCAGCCTCGGGCCAGCTGCACAAAGGTCAGTCTTCTCCTCTGTGCATTTAGGAAGGAGGTGACCTGCAGGGTAATTGGGTGGATGCAGCCAGGTCCCCTGCTCCTGGCGACATGGGGACCCTCTACCCCCTGCGGTTTCTAGGGCTCTGTGGCTCTGTGGAGGCCTCGGTGCCCTTTCTGGGTGGAAGAACCACATGTTCCAGCAGGACGGGGGGGGGAGGGGGGGTGAAGGTGCACTTGGCCCCGTTTTGAGGATGAGGTGGGGCCAGGTGCACAAAGCTCCTGGTACGCAGTAGGTGCTCCTTAAACGGCACTCTGTCCCCATCACTGGTGGGGCTTGTGTTCAATGCCTCAGGAGCATCTTCTGGCCTGAATTTCTTGTGTTTTAAGTGTTTTGGGGGGTTTTGTTTTTTTTTTATAGAAGGGAAGAAAGAAAACTAGAGAACGTCAAGGTCGCCCAGCCCCAGAGAACCTGGACAGAGGTGGGAACTGTGCCGTGGCCAGCCGCCTGCAGCTCCCGGAACGCCGCTGGCCTTCTGTGGCCTGACGGCAGGAACGTAGGGGGCCGGGCCTCCTGCCTGCAGCCGCTGGCATCCAGGCTACATTTTTGAGTACTGGTATTTTTGACACATGGAAGAGATACCAAAAGGGTGACTCCGAAGGGCAGAGTGGTCCCTGTGGGGTCTGAGCCCCCCGCCTCCGCCCCAGGCGCTGTGGCCTCCGCCAAGGATTGCAGGGGGCTGTTCTGGGTGTGGGCTTCACGAACTCCCTTACCAGGCTCTGCAGAGGACACAGAGGCCACTGTTTCTGGCAAAGCAGGGAGTGGGGGGTGTGGTGGCTCCACAAGAGCCCACGGAGGGGAACCGCAGACCCCAGGACATCAGATCTGTCAGGGACACCAGCATCTTGGAAAACAGAGCAGGGATTGACCGGCTCAGGGTGAAAAGCACAAGATGGGCAGCAGAGGAGCAGGGGTCCAGGGGGAGGCACGGGCAGCAGGCCTGGGACAGTGACGGGCAGCGCAGGTCCAGGGCCCCAGCTAGGGTCCTGTCACTGGCCTACAGGCCCAGGCAAGTTCTTGAAAGACGGTGAGGCAGAGTGAAAGCCTGGGGCAGCGGATGCCATGATGGAAAGAGACGTGGAGTTACTGAACCAGGGCCCAGGTCGCGTCCGCGGGCAGCAGGCTGAGAAACACACCAGCTGCAGCTGGCCCACACCTGGCGAAGGTCAGAGAAAGACAGGGTGGAGGGACGTGGAAACAGGCCACGCCTCCGTGCATGGTGCTGGGCACATGGGAGGTTCTAGAAGGATCCAAGGAGTGGCTGCCTGCTTACCCAATTAATCCACGTGTGCATCTGAGTTTCTATTAAATTAGCAGAAACTTACCTGCTACCTTCTATAACAAAGGGACAGAGTGTCCAGGGAGGACAGTGGGGCCCAGCAGGTTTGAGGGGACACGAGGGGCAGGCTGGGGCAGACCTCGGAACAGACACACCAGCCCCCAGGCAAAGCCCACCCTGCAGCCTCCACTGCCACAGGTTGGCCTCCAGGGCTGTCCCAATCAGCGGGCCAATGACCACCAGGCTGGGGGAAAGGGATCAGGACCCGCTGGTCTCCAGCGAGGAGGGGAGACATCAGGGAAGGGGCTCCAGGCTAGTTCTCTTGCTGAGCAAACACAGAAGCCAGAATTTCTCTGTGGGAAGAGGGGCAAGGAGTGGCAGTGGCCAGGAAAGGGAAAATGACCTGCCATCTGACCCTGTGACCTTCCTCGGTCATTCTGGGTGTGAGAACTCAGCATTCACCCTGAACCAGGGAGCCCTCAGGTAAAGAATCCCGGGCTCCTCTGAGAACGTCCAGGCCCTTCACCTGTGACTGAGCCTGCAGGCGTGAGCAGCGGGTCTGGCTGGACC